ATCAAACTGGTTAACATAGCCTTCACGTCATTTTCTTAGTTATTGTTTTAAAACATTCAAATTCTACTCTTAGAAAGATTCACTTTGTGTACCCTTGTAAGATAAACCTCAGAAGTGATCCCTCCAATCCCCCTCCCTCCACCCATTCCCCCCTCCCTTCTCCCTCCCCTCTCCCTGTATTCTTAGGCTGTTATTAGGTTATAGCTTTCATATAGAAGGTATAAATTAGGTTCATAATAGGGGTGTGTACATTGGATACTTTTTCTCCTTCTTCTTACGTCCTTCATGTTCACATAGATGGAGCTAGAAAATGTTCTTCTTAGCAAAGTATCACAAGAATGGAAGAAAAAGCCTATGGTTCTGACATGTTTCCTCACCATTGATATAGAGACTATTCCTATCCAGCTGGAAGGGACCCAGATGGGAGATATCATAGGTCAGCTGGCTCAGCTCCCAGTACAGCAGTTCTCTGTACAGTTCAGGGCCCGCAGGGTGAGAATGGAAGGTGCAGATGACTTCCACTTTGGTAGCCACTCCACCTTTTGCAGGCCTGGGGAAAAAAGGACATGGAGATGTGGAATCCTAAGGAGGGTCCTGAGCCTTCTGGGTGTGGAAAGCGTGAGAGAGGGAGGAAGGAGGTAGGACAATATGGAAGGGGGTCTACTAAGTGTCTCTCATCTGTGACACCCCTCAAATGGGGAAAGAAGACAGTTTAATTAGAATTTGCAGATATGATATGTAATTGTCCCACTTCTTCTGTGAGGAGAACCCTAATTTAAAACAGAGTATCATCTAGAGTCCATAAACCAGTGGTCCTTTCTGGCACCAGGAACCAGTTTCATGAAAGACAATATTTTCATGCATGGGGTTGGGGAGTGGGTGCAGGGATGAGAATCTGACAGGAGTCAGAGCTCAGACAGTGATGTGAGAGATGTGGAACAGCTGTAAATACAGATGAAGCTTCACTTGCTTTCCAGCTGCTCACCTCCTAGTGCTCACCTCCAGGTTCCTATCAGGACACCAACCAGGGACTTTTTGGCACCAGGGGATAGTTTCATTGAAGACAATTTTTCCACAGACTGGGAGTGAAAGAGGAGAGGGAAAGACCAGGAGGTGGAGCTGAGATAGTGATGCTATGTGCCCTGGTTCCTAACAGGCCACTGACTGGTACATATCCATGGCCTGTAGGTTTGGAACTGAAGCCATAAACTGAACACATTTCATCCTCTAAAGCCTTGAGTGTTTGCACCACTTGAGCATGAAGAGGCACAAAGGTAGGCGGTTGAAAGCCCTTGTGGTGTGAGCATTCCCTGGGCCCTCCTGGCCAGTGCACAAGAGTCCACTCAGTTTGATGAGTGGCTCTTGCCAGCATGGGGGAGGATCTCACCTGAGCGAGGCCAGTCTACAACCAGCATAGACAGAGGCTGCACTGGTCTGGTTGAACAAGGACGTGAGCTGATGGGAAGACAGAGAGGGAGGTGAGGAAGGGCTGAGAGACAATGCAGGCAGCTGTGAGGGCAGCTGGATGTCATCTGGAGGCCCTCACCAAGGTTTGCAGGACCCTTTCAGTTTTGTCAAACTGTAAGGAATCTGGATGTTCCATGTCATTTGTGTACTTCACATTGGTGATGGTGAAGTTGATGGTGAAGGGCACCAGGACAGGGCCAGTGGCTACAGTGGGGAAGGAAGAGAGAGATGTTCAGCTTAGGCCATAGTAATGATGACCAAGGCTGTTCTGGCCCTGTCTATGGGGCACTAGCTGTGGACTAAGTACAGAGATAGAGTGCAGGTGCCAAAGCACAAAACCTTCTGGAATTCCCAAGACCTCACATTCATTTAGTAAGCATTTATGGAGCTTCAAATATGTGCAAGGTTCTGTGATGAGCTCTGTGGGTCCAAACAAGAACAGGGCATAATCTTATGATGTTGTAGACAGGGAGGTGACCAGATGATTATGTGTCACAGGAAGCCTGAGACTGAGGGTGGCTGTGGAAATCCAGGAGGGACATTGAGCCAATGATGGAAAAAAAGCCTCCAAGAGGAAGCATCATTTCAGGTGTGGACAACAGCAGTGGGAAGAGTTAGGCTAAGAGGAGCCAAGCAAGTGGGAAGGGCCCTCCATGCAGAAGGAACAGCTTGGGCAAAGGCTTGGATGAGCATGGTTAACCCAAGGAATTTGATGGTCACTCATTATAGTGACATAGATGTCAGAATGGAGGGATCCTCTGAGTCCAGAAGAGGGAGCCAGAACAGGCGTTTGGATGTGACTTATATACCAGATAGCCTGGTGCAGAGCTCGTCAGCAAGATAGGAATTATACAGATGTAGACACATTGGGAGCGATAGGCAAACTACTTTGTGGAAAACAGTAGGAGGCAGAATAGAGGCTACTGCAATCATCCTAGGGAAAAATCATGGTGGCCTGAAAACAGATTAAGTGATGCAGATGCAGAGAAATGGGGAGCTGGAGGGATTTCCCTAAAGGAGAAGATAAGAGATTTGGTGTTATAAGGATGTAGGAGGTGAGCCAATGGAAAGGTGCTCTACCACTGCTTTTGGTGATGAGGGGGAGGGAGCAGGTTTAGAGGAGGAGACCTGAGTGGCAACCAGGAGGTGCATGGACCAAGGGTCAGGAGCTGCTTTGGGTTGTAAAAATTTGTGTGTCCTTGTGCCACAGTCAGCTTGAATTCAGGAAAGTATCCTAAGAGAAATGTGTGTGTGTGTGGAGGGGGGGCAGGCGATTCTTGCCACCACCAACTGGGTTACCATCCTTCCTTCCTTCCTTTTTTTTTTTTTTGAGACAGAGTCTTACTTGGTCACCCTTGGTAGAGTGCCATGGTGTCACAGCTCACAGCAACCTGAAACTCTCAGGCTCAAGGAATTCTCTTGCCTCAGCCTCCCAAGTAGAGGGGACTACAGGCACCCGCAACAATGCCTGGCTATATTTTTAGAGAGAGAGTCTTGCTCTTACTCAAGCTGGTCTTGAACCAGTGATCTCAGGCAATCTACCCACCTCAGTCTCCCAAGTGCTGGGCTTATAAGAATGAGTGACCATGCCTGGCTCCCTTTCTTCCTTTACTTTCTCCTTCTCCCCTTTTTCTTTTTCTTCTCTCTCTTTTCTCTTTCTTTCTTCCTTCTTCCATTCTTTTCCTTCTCCTTTATTCTCTTTCTTCCCTCCCTCCCTCCCTTCCTTTCCCCCTGCTTCCTTTTCCTTTGTTCTCTTTCCTTTTCCTTCCCTCCCCTGCTCCCTCTCTCCCTCTTTTCCTTTCTTTCTTCTTTCCAAGATGGAGTCTCACTTTATTATCCTGGCTTTATGCAGTGGTGCTATCATAGCTCAAGTAATCCTCCTGCCTGAGCCTACTAAGTATGTGGTACTATAAGCGTGTACCACCTTGCCTGGCTAATTTTTACATTTTTTTTTTTTGCAGAAATGGAGTCTTGCTATGTTGTCCATGCCATGCTAGTCTGAAATTCCTGCCCTCAAGTGGTCATCCCATTACCAGGTTACATTTCTATACATGTCCCTAGATTTCTTTCCATGTAAAGGGTGAGTAATAGGCGGCAGGGTTGGCCACTTGAGAGGCTCCTATTTTTTAGCAGAAGGGAGATAGGTGGTCAGAGACACATAGACATCTGGAATATGTACTACTACTGGCAGAAGTACTTGAGACTGGATAGGTGTAACCTATAGAGACAAGAGAGAAGGGAAAGATCTTCTATTAGGGGGCAACTTGGTCACTGGGTAAGCTGGAAAGATGGTCCATTGGTGGATGGACCATTGCAGCTGTGAGTCATTTAATGGAAGACAGTGTCCCCTCCTGACAGGTATTATAATCCCTAACCCCGAAGAGAGAAAGGCTTTGCTCAAAGTACTCTTTGCTCAAAGTGTGAACTAGATGCAGGGACCTGCTTCAGCACAGTGAGGAATAGGAGACCCACATGCCACATGGCCTTGCACCATAGATACTGACACTGTCACTTGAGAAGTTGGGGAGTAAACACCCTAAGTACTTGGGTTGGAAACTCTATCATCTTGGAGATCCCAGGGAAGAGGTGCCAACATGTGAGGGTACAGATCCCTGTTCATTCAGGACAAGGGGTGCAGTGGGGGTGTGCAGTGAAGGAAGTGGGATTATGACCTTTTCTATTCCTAAGTCCTATTCCTAGGACTCAGATGGAAGCAGTTTACAGGGTGTAAAGATGCCTGAAGGCCCAGAATACTCACTGCTGGAGGTGGTGGTCTTCATCTTGTGTGTATAACCTGTATAAGTGGAGGGAGAAAGGTTGAGTAGAAGGTGAGAGAAAAATAGAAGGATAGAGGGTGTGGGATCTGACGAGCTGCAAATAATAAAGCCTCTCACCATTGACATAGAGACTATCCTGGTCTAGGGTTCTGGGGCCCAGCTGGGTGACACTGTAGGTCAGCTGGCTCAGCTCTTGGTATAGTATCTCTCTGTCCAGCTCATGGCCTGTAGGGTCACGGAGGAGGGTGCAGATGGTGTCCACTCCAGTGGCTGACCCATTCTTCTCAGGTCTGTGGAGAGTGGGTGAGGGGAATGACAATAAAAGGAGGAGGATCCCTAAAGCTCATGGAAGGAGGACAAAAAGGAGCTAGAGGAGATGACAAGTGTGGTGGAGTGGTGAAAAGTCAGACTTAGATTCTTCGAATGCACAGACTCACAGCCAGTCTGAAATTGTGAGCAGAGTTACAGATCCACCAATTCTTATTAAATTGGAAGACTCAAACCTGCATGCTCATGGCATGGGGACAGAGAACTTACATACACGACAAGTAGAGAGCTGGTATTGGGGATTAAAGCAAGTGGAGAAGGCATGTTTGTCAGGGCATAGAATTTAATACCCAAAGGAAATGCCCTCACTGCTAAAGAGGCCAGAGGGAGCAATTTGGAGGGATGACCAGAGTAGTGGCCCAATCCTGCTGATTGGTTATGCAGAGGGGACAGTTGGTGAGAAGATGATAAGGTCAGGAGACAACTTGCTCCTGAATTCCACCTCGGCTGAGGACATCTGCAGGGAGGGCAACCAAACTCTGGGCTTGGGAACAACTGAGGCAGCTCTAGCTGGCTGTTCTACGGTCTCACCTGAGCAAGGTCAGTCTGCAGCCAGAGTACAGTGGGCTGATACTGGTTTTTTGGAACAGGAGATCCAGCTTCAGAGAGGAAAGAAAGAGAAAAAATGGTCTGAGAGGCAGTGGCCAAATGGCCATCAGTGGGCAAAGGACACAACAGTGGGCAGGGCCACACCAGTGGAGGGAGTAAGAGAGTGCAGCTGCACCAGGGGGCGGGACCATACCAGTGTAGGGATGGAGTGTGGGTGGAGCCAGCCCCAGTGGGTACAGTCACACCAGTGGGAAGGGCCATAACAGTATAGGGATGACAGAGTAGGTGGGCAGTACCCTGGGTGGGGTAAAGTGAGGTGGCCAGGGCTCTCACCAGGATCTGTAGAGACTTCTCCAGATTGTTGAACCTTGGGGAGCCTGGAGGCTGCATGTCCTTCCTGAAGTGCAGGCTGGTGATGGTAAAGTTGACGGTGAAGTGCACCAGAGGTGTTTGTGTGGCTGCAGCAGGAGAGGGAGAGGATAGGCCATGCTGAGTCAGGCCTGGGAGGAATATAGGAACAGAGATGGTGTGGGGCCATTGGCCTGAGACTAGTGACCATCTCTTTAGAGTCCATGGAAATGACTCAAGGACCTTGAAGTCTAATGCAATGTGAATATTAGACCATCATGCTACAAGTTAAGGAAGGAAAAGTTTGGAAGTTACAAAGCTTGAAGGTATCAGCCTATCATTTGGACTTATTTTTATGAATTGTTCACTTACTTTCCTTCCCTTAATCACTCAACCAAAATTTAGTGGCATTTCTGCAGCTAGGCAAAACTGCAGAGGTGATTCCCAGTTGAGGAAGATGCTACTATTTTTCAATTTTAAAAAGGTAAAAAGTGGTTGCTGGGGACCTCAGTGATTCTGAGATTGGTCTCCCAGATGTATGTGGGTATTCCTCACAAAACTGGGGCACTGAAGGAGCTGGTAGATGTTTGGAAGGGGTGTATGTGAGAGCATGTTTTGTGCGTATCTGCCCGTTGTGGACAGATAGATGATCCTTGCATTATTCTTTCAGCATTTTCGATAATTTTCATAAGAAAAAGTTTGGGAGTGGGAACAAACACATACAAAATGTTCATGAAAAGTAGTAATAACACCATGGTCCTTATATTTTGACAAGCTGGACATTGCTTAAAATGCTCCTAAAATGAAATGACTATGTCCACTGAATATTGCCAGGGAGGAACATATTCATAAAGAATTGGTAACAAGAACAAAGTCATATATTCAGTAGAAGAGTATTGAAGTATTGAGTATTAAAACAAGATAAAGAGCAATTAGTTCATTGGGCAGACTAAAGAATTGATTCTTTACTGAATTGGTTTCTGGGACACTTGACCAGTGATGAAATGTATTCTCAGCAAATAGATCTTTTACTTTGTACTTTTCTAAGTATTGGAGAATGATTTAGAAGCCAGGAGCCATCCATAGGTTTCAGAAACAGGTTACAAAGTGTAGTTGAGGATTGTGGGTGCTGAAATTGGGTTGGTATTTCAAGGGGTTCTCAGGGACCTGGGGATACCCGTGTCAGATCTTTCAGGAGTCAACCTTGGGCCCCACCCCTAACTCCACCTCTTTCCTCCTGTGACAAACAGGAGTCCCTGGGAACAGAAGGATTCCTACCTGTGGGACTAGAGAAGGGGGTCAGCATACCTGAGAAAACTGTGGCCATCATTGAAACTGGGAGAGAACAATCCAAGTGCATGGACTGGAGACCCACCACCTTGGAGATGCCAGGGAGGGAGTGCTCAGCTTGGAGCATTTTAGGGAATAGGCAGGTCTCTGTTCATCCCAGGCTGGAGGATGGGCGGGGTATAAAGTGGGGGCAGTGGGGTCTTTAGCTCTTTTATTCCAAAGGGATGTGACTTAAAGGAGATGGTAGAAACATATGAAACCTCCAATCACTCACTCCTAGGAATGGTAGTCTGGGTCTGGTAGGTGTAACCTGAAGAGGTAAAGGAAGAAATGGTGAGGAGAGAGGGGGATGAGGGAAAGGGAGGCATACAAGGGGGAGATGAGGGCTCTAAAATGTACCAAAGCACAGATGGCACTTCTCACCATTGACATAGAGACTGCCCTTGTCCAGGTTAAAGGGGCCTATCCGGGTGACATTGTGGGTGAGCTGGCTCAGTTCCTCGTACAGCTTCTCTCTGTCCAGCCCATGGCCTGTAGGGTCAGGGTGGAGGTTGCAGATGGTGTTTACTCCTATGGCTTCTCCATTCTTTTTGGGCCTGGGGGAAGACCGGTGAAAGGAAGGACAGTAAATGGATTGCCTTGGTAGGGGCTTTGATCTCTTGGTAGGGGCTCTGATTCCTAGGGGAAGTGCAGGAAAGGGACAGAGGAAACGAGAAGCCTGATAGAGAGGTGAGAAGAAACCCTTAGATTCTCTGAGTGCACCAACTTCCAACCAGCTTTGGACTGTGAGCAGAGTCATGGATACAAGAATTTTAAAAACTGCAAGGGTGCAACATGCATCCTCATGGGATAGGGATAGAAGAGTTCAGACATGAGGCTGGCACTGGGGATTAAGGCAAGTGGAGGAGGCAAGTTTATCTTGAAAGAAACCCTGGGGAGAGAATATAAAACCCAAAGGAAATGGCCTTATTATTCAAAGGGAAGGACAGAAGGAGGAAATTCAGATCAGAGGAATGACCAGGGCAGGGGCTCAATCCTACATACGGGCTCTGCAGAAACTCTCATTGAGGTAGGGAGGGTGGTAGGCTCAGGAGACACCTCGGGCCTGGAACCAGAACCTCCTAAATTCCACCTCTGTCCAGGGAGGACAGGAAGGAAGCAGACAAAATTTGGGGACCTAGGAGCACATGGGGCAGCTCCGGCAAGTATGCTAAGGTCTCACCTAAGCGAGGTCAATCTGCAGCTGGAGTACAGAGGGCCAATGCTAGTGTTCTGGAACAAGGACTTGAGCTGTGGCAGAGGGAGAGGGAGGAAAGTAAAAGTGAGCAGAAGCCAGGTGGATAGGGCTGGCACCATTGGGTGGGGTCTTCCAAGGGTGTGGTGTTGGTGAGGTGAGTGGGGCTTACATCAGTGGGTGGGGCACAGGTGACGTGGGCAGGGTTAGTATCAGTGAGTAGGTCTTCTGTTTTGGGGGAACAAGTAATGCGGGCCTTCTTCCAGGCAAAGGAGAAGTAGGTGGTACTTATGTAAGTAGGTAGGGTGGGGTCTGGTGAGAGGTGGGTAGGGCTCTCACCAGGTTCTGCATGACCCTCTCTGTGGTGTTGAACCTCCAAGAGCCTGGGTGATCAAGGTCCTCATTGTAATGCAGGTTCAAGATGGTGAAGTTGATGGTGAATGTCATTAGGAGAGAGCCAACAGCTGCAGTGGGAATAGAAAAGATATGTCCGCTAATTCTATTCTTGCTCTGTGAACCTGAGCCTGGGGCATCCTGCTGATTCATTTACAAGTGCTGGGGAAGGTTTCCATTCAGTTTCCTCAAGGACGACACCCCAGACTCAGTGTTAACTGAGGCACAGTAAGGTAGCATGAAAAATTGTATTTTGGAGTCAAATACATCATGAAACAGAAAATAAACACATCTGACCCTTTTTGTACCTAAAATTCCAGGCAGACATCTTTTCTCTCTAAGGTTTTTCCCACCAAAACTGTTTCTTTGAGAGCCACTGATTTGTTGATTTTTAAAATAATTTGTTTGAAGAAACACCTATATTGCGTTTTTTATGTGTCAGGCCCTGTTGCAAGTGTTCTATTTACATGGTAACTCATTTATGTGTGAGGAAAACTTTTGGAGGGAGATAATGCAGTATGCCCATTTTAAAAGATGTGAAAACTTAGTCAAAGGGAAATTAAATAATTTAAGCTTAACATTGTGGTCCCAGAATATGTGCTCCTATCTCATCTACCTGGGCCCATGGGCAGGTCCAGCCTGGTGAACCTGCAGGTGAACACCTGTTCTGGCCTGAATGGTCAGTGGTCAGAATGTCTTCAGAAGGCCACAGCTGATGAGAAACTGGACAATCATGATGCCAGCTCATACTAGACCTTTGGCAAGGCCTGTGGATGGCATGGACTCTTCCTTGGGTTAGTAAGAAGCCAGGAATGGAAAGCTGGACTTTGGACCAACCAAAGCATGCCCAAGTAACCAAGCATCCTTTCGTACTGTCTCTGGAAAGAGACCCCTTCCTTACTAAGTCTCTGAAAAATACAGAGACTCCTTACTTAAGGGAGACCCCCAACTTACTAACTCTATGAGAGAGAGATCCCTTCCTTTCTAAGTCTCTGAGAAGGCGACCCCTTCATTACTAAGTCTCTGAGAAGAAGACCCCTTCCTTACCAAGTCTCTAAGGAGAAGATCCCTTTCTTATTAAGTCTCAGGGAAAGAGACCCCTTCTTTACTAAGTCTATGAGAAGAGAGACACCTTCTTTATTAAGTCTCTGAGAAGAAGACCTCTTCCTTACTAAGCCTCAGGGAAAGAGACCCCTTTTTTATTTTTAAAGAACTCATTTTATTTTAAATAATACCATTGAGCAAGAATCCTATTTTGACCCCAAGTCAGACTACAAAACAGAAAATATTGAGTTGCATAGAAATCATCTTACTCCAGTTTCATTTAGACCTTATATTCTGAAGTTATTTGTTTAATATATTTTGCTCTGGGTTTACTTTTTATTTTTTTGCAATTCTTAGATAAAGTCCCTCTTATAATTGTGTAAAAGACCCCCCCTTTTTTTACTAAGTCTCTGAGAAGAAGACCTCTTCCTCACTAAGTCTCTGAGAAACTTCTTTAGTAAGTCTCTGAAAAAGAAACCCCTTCCACACTAAGTCCCCAAGAAGGAAACCCCCTTCCTTACTACATCTCTGAGTAAATCTCTGAGAAGGAGACCCTCTTCCTGACTCAGTCTCTGAGAAGGAGACCCCTTCTTTACTAAGTCTCTGAGGAGACCTCTTACTTGCTAAGTCTCTGAGGAGACCTCTTGCCTAGTAAGTCTCTGAGAAAGAGACTCCTTCACACAACATAATTCATGTTAGAACAGTGCTGATGATTATCAATACTTATCTGTACAGCCATGCTTTTTCTCTCTGCTAGGATCCCATCAAAGACCACAGCTCTTTTCTATTCTTTCTATTGTTGCATTACCAGGGCCTTTGACACATTAAATGCTTAATAAATATTTGTTGCCTGAATGATTGGGGAGTCATTCTTCCCCAGGTGATATCTCCCACTGGCCAAGGACATTAGAACTTCATACAGAGGAACAGAGAGGAGGCTCTTACCTGTGGAGACTGGAACAGAGGTCCCTGAAGTCGCAGGAGACATAGTGTAGCCCATCACAACTAAGGAGAAAACAGAGTGAGGTGAATGTGTGAGAGGTAGAGCCTCCTCAGTTAAGGACAGCCCATCACGGGACCTTGAGACCCTTATTTTGCTTAGCTTCAAGCCTGTGCTGGCATGTCTTCTCTGAGCTGGGGAATGAAGGTGGCGAAAGACCAGAGCAGATGGGGCCCCAAGGCAAGTGGTACGTGCACCCAAGTTACTCACTGCTAGGGGTAGAGGTCAGGACCCGGTGAGTGTAACCTGACAAAAGAGAGGATGAGAAGTTATGAGGATAGGGGATAGGAATAAGAGGTAAGAATCTGGGGCCCACTCTTGTTTCTATGTATCTATTTATTTATTAAGACATACTTAAAGAATGCACTCAATGTACAGATCCAGAAGATAACACCCAGAGACCACTGCTGGAGCACAAGAAAGAATTTCTGCATCATGTTATCTGCAGTTAATCTCTCTGCCATCTGTACATCTGTTCCCTTCTCTGATTGTCTGATTTCTTGTTACAGCTCCAGAAACACCTCTTGTGCGTGATGAGCCCAGAGCACACAGCCGAGAGCAAGCAGATCCCTGGGGGAAGGAGCACAGCCCCTAACCATTGACGTTGAGGCTGTCCTTGTCCAGATTGTAGGGGCCCAACTCAGTGAAGCTGTGGGTCAGCTGCCTCAGCTCCCAGTAGAGCTGCTCTCTGTCCAGCCTGTGGCCTGCTGAGTCAGGGTGGAGGGTACAGATGGCATGTACTCTGGTGGCTGACTGGTCCTTTTCTGGCCTGAGTCGGGAGGGAAACACATGGATGGGAACACATATGCAAGACTGATAATGAAAGTGACTTGCAAGAATAATAATGTTTGGGAAAGTCACAAAGCTGAAATCAATTTTTGTGGAAGAGGGGGGGAAAAGGAGACTAAAAAAAAAAAAAATTCTAGGGCTCGGCGCCTGTGGCTCAAGCGGCTAAGGCACCAGCCACATACACCTAAGGTGGTGGGTTCGAATTCAGCCCGGACCCGCCAAAACAACAATAATGGCTGCAACCAAAAAATAGCCGGGCCTTGTGGCAGGCGCCTGTGGTCCCAGCTACTTGGGAGGCTGAGGCAGGAGACTCGCTTGAGCCCAGGAGTTGGAGGTTGCTGTGAGCAGTGAAGCCATGGCACTCTACCCAGGGTGACAGCTTGAGGCTCTGTCTCAAAAAAAAAAAAAAATTCTAGACTCTATAAATGATCAATAGATGAATGAGATGAAATAGCACTAATGTTGGGCCAATGATGAGCAGCCCTGTGGCAGCCACTGTCACTCTGCTCTCAGATGAAGCCAAGGGAAATAAAAACAGATGGGGGCAACCAAGAGATCTCACAGATCCCTAGGTGCATCACCTTTGAACACTTTAAATGTAGATTATGAAATGTGCGTGCCAAAAAGACTGCTCAGTATTGCTTCTGAAATTTCCTTACAACAGAATAATCTTAGAAATTGCAGGGAGGGAATTCACTTCTGGAGGATGTTTTCCATGTCAGTTAGGAAAGAAGTCCCGAGGATAGGAATCAAGGAGAGGCTCACCTGCTACACTGGGCAGGTGGGGAAATGGGGAGATTCAGGAACAGAAACTGGGAGGGGTGGGAGAGTGTGCAATTGCTTCTCGGCATTGTCAGGGGCTCAGAAAACAAAACTCCAAAATTAAGCCCTCAGATATGGCCTCAAAAGCAAAAGATTTTCTCTGATTTTTTCCTGCCCACTTCTCTTTCAGTCCCATTCATTCTGAGCCTAGCTACAGAAACTAGAATCTCTTTTCTCCAAGGTGGGTCATAGAAACCACAGCCCCTTTTCTCCAATGCCAACTATAAACTTTAAAAATATTATTGTAACTTTCTCCTCTGACTTCATATGTAAAAACTGGTCATACATAAATAATCTAACTTTGTTCGACTATAGGGCATAACCACCCCCTGCCCCCGCCTTCCAGAAAGTAACCTGCCCCACACCCAGAAGGAAGGAATGCTGCTCAGAGAAGACAAGAATCCAGGTGGACAGGCCTTGCTGGGTTTCCCCCTTCAGTTGATTAGCATGAGATTATATCCCTTGGGTCAAATCATGTTTCTACATATTTGTCCATACTTTGTTGAACCTAAGCATAAAAATGGACGGTTCCCCCTTTATCTGTGGATCTTTATTCTGCAGGCTCCCATGTGTACATACATGTTAAATACATTCATATGCCCTTTCTCCATTTAATCTACTGTTTGCAAGTTGATTTTTCAGCACTTCTTCAGAGAACCATGCTCTTGGCCCCTACAGTATCTCACCTGAGGGAGATCAGTCTGCAGCTAGAATACAGTGGGCCAATGCTGGTGTTCCTGAACAAAGGAGCAAGCTAGGGAGGAAGGAGAAGAAGGTGAGTGACCACTGAGGAGCTCTGTAGGAGTGAGGAGGACTGGGCAGCAGGCCGCTCAGGGACACTCACCATGAGCTGCAGGGTCTCCCCTGTTGTGTTGAATATTGCAGATCCTCGGTGCCTCATGTCAGACACATACTGCAGGTTTGTGATGGTGAAGTTAAAGGTAAAGGGCACCAGAGCAGAGCTTGTGGCTGTGAAGGAAAGGCAGACAAGAGGATCTGGCCTGACCCTGCTAAAGTTCCCTGTCCAGCCTTCCTCTAGCCTTCCCACATATGGACTCTGGGTCTATGCACCAGAATTTCCCACCTGGCTCAGTTCTTGATCCAATGCAGGCAGAAACCACCATGTAAGAATATCCTACTCAATATCTAGAATGTATTCACTTTTCAATTTTTTTTCTTTTTTTGAGATAGGGTCTGGCTATGTTGGCCAAGCTGATGTCAAATTCCTGGGCTCAAGCAATCTTGGTTCTGGAATTGTTTTTTTCTCATGCACCCTTATTTGGGGCCACCCATAGGCCTCAAGACTTCTCCCATACTGGCCCAATTATGTGACTAGACATAATCTCATGTCTCAGATTCCCAGTTGCAATTTTAGTACCTTTCATCCTTCAACAAATATTTATCAAGCACCAGCTATGCATGAGTCATCATCATGACATTGTCACCTATATTTTTAGGTAGGAAAATAGACTTTCTTCCAGCTGTTTCAGTATGGGGAATTTCCTACCAAAAAACCCTAAAAATCCAACAAACCAACAAATACTCTTAAACCTGGAAAGGTAACAGAGAGATTGGCAAAATCAAAAAGCCTCTACTCACACAGGGATATCAGAAAGGAATGACATTCTTAAGGGATTATGGATTGTGAATAGGAAAATAGATTTTATTGTAATAACAATAGGAAGTAGCAGAAAGGTTTTACCCAAGGGAGAAATGAGCTCTGATGCTGATTTTTCAGAAACTTCCACTGGTTGCTATGTGGAGAACAGATTATAGAGGCAGGAATGGAAGCAGGGAGGTCAACACAGAAACCATTGCTGGGGTTTAGGTAAGAGATGGTGGTAGCTTGGATTAAGGCTGAAGAGGTAATGGGAGAGAATGATGGATCCAGGGTATCTTCTGGATCCAGGGTATATCTGTATGTTCTGATGCTTAAGAAGTAGATTGAAAGGAAAGGGAGGGGCCAGGATACTTCTCAATATCTTGCTTTTGTAACTAATTTCCTTGCTTGGATTATCATCTCATTACTCTCTTCACAGAGACACCCACTGTTACCCCTCCATTTCTGTCAGGGATCCCACTAGGCCTTGTTCTTCCCTTTGGATTGTGAATATCCACTGGTGTCAACTTCCATCTGTGTTCTACATGTGGAACCCTACTCCTTCTAAATAACAGAAACTTTTCACATGTTGGCAGCTGCTCACATGTTAGGTTCTGGCTGAAACCCATCTCTTAGGTCACCGAATTCCAGTGTGTGTGTTCTTAATCCTGATATTACATGGCTTGTCCTTGAGACCTATGAGAGAAAAGTCCCTACTGATTGTGAGGTACCAATGGTCCAAATATAAGAAGATTATCAGAGACACAACCTGAATAGAAGGATGTAGGAAGGGATCTCATTTTGAAATGAAATTTTGGCCCAAGAGCAACTGTAGAGAGGGATGGTAAATGCAAAGTCAAAGGATAGAAATAAATCTGTGTTGTTTGGAGTCCACACTGGTTGTTGAACTTTTCTGGCTATTGATCTAGGGAGGTGTGGGCGGACTTGGATCAAACAGGTGGTCTCAGTCATAACTCAGCAGAGGCTGAATTAAGCCTTCCAACTTACAGATGGCTTCCTAGGAAAACCAGTAAGAAACAAGAGCCTAATTTTCTTATATTCTCTCCCATAGTCTTGTGGCAGCTTCATCTGAATTGGAAGCAACTACATGGGGTGTAAAGTGGTAAGAATTCTGAAGCTGTTTTGAAATCACAAAGAATGGACATCAGTGAGTGATGTATGTCATGGGTGAAGAAGGGACATAGATGTCACATAATTGCCGTGGGTAGAACTTGACAGAACTATCAAATATTTTAACCAGGGACAGAAAAGTAGTGTAGCGAGTAAGACAAAGATGCTCCTTCCAGGGGATTTTGCGTATTTCTTATACATCTGTCATTGACAAGGTAGATGATGGAGAAATAATAGTAAGTAAGACAAAGATGCTCCTTCCAGGAGGTTTACTCAATATTGGGGTCAACAAAAATAAATACAATGGTACAACCAGAGAAAATATAAGACTATGTAAAACACATCTCAACAGATTGAAAGTAGATGATAGATAAAAGCATACTATGCTTCCCTTGCCCATAATGATAGAAGATTTTTCTCAAAGCATATTAATTAGTAGTAGATGGGTACTGAGCATAGCATTTGATGCATTTCAGTACTCAATAATGTTAGAGATTATGTGTCACATTTCTGAAAATCATGATAATTAACATCACTATAGCTGTGATTATTGTCACAACACCATCATCTGCTTCAAAAAAAGCCACTATCAAAATTCATATTGTTACCACCAGAACCACAATCATCTTCACCATCACCATATCATCATACCCCTCATAAACAAGACTACCATCATCATCATCATTATCATCACCATTATTGTTATCACCACCACCATCATCACCATGATAATGTAAACCCTCAGAGAAGAGACTGTTATTTCCTTTGTGTTCTCTGCTGTATGCCCAGACACAGAGGAGGTGCTCAATACATTGTTGGTTGAATACTCCTCACCAGATTGACTATGAAATTTGATATATATTAGAGAGATTATGGCAGAGATGTTGTCTCTGCCATAGACAGACATGCTCTGACACCAGTGCTACTGACTGGTACTCACCAGAGGGACTGGAAGAGGAGTATAGAGTCCCAGAAATTCCCATGTTAACTGCAGAGGTCCGAGGAGCTGAGGAGAAGTCAATGTCAATGACAGTAACTCACATGGAAGAAATGCAGCAGTGGAGGAAACAGATGGGGATTGCATGGAGGATCTGAATTTGAACTCTCACTAGAGCCGGGGCAGAGGGAAAAGGGAACAACTTGTGTACTCCACGGCTCATTCTATCTGAGAAGGACATAACTGGACTGGAGAGTGGACACTGAATGTCCAGCTTTGGGACACTAGAAAATAGGATGAATACTTACTGCTGGTGAAGTGAAGAGAGTTGTGAGAAATGAAACCTGCAAAAGAGGGAAGCAGGATAATGGGGAAGGGGTAAGGGTAAGAGAGAGGTGGGGGAAACAAATGAATGAGGAATACACTGGTCCAATGAAAGGAGGTAGGTGGGCAGGGGCAAGTGGTGATTCTCTATTACACCCTGATATCACAGAACAAGGTCCTGAATATGAACCAAGTCTAGGTAGAGAAGAAATCAAGAGGATCACACAGCAATCATCACATATACACACTGTGACCAGCACGACAGTGGTGAGGAAGGAACAGGATTAGAGACAGAAACAATGTTTTAAATCCTGTGCAGAAGAAATTCCACAAATCCTACAGAGAAAGAAAAAAGAGACCCCAAACACATGGTAGCCCCTCACCATTGACATAGAGACTGTCCTTGTCCAGGGTGTAGGAGCCTAGCTCAGTGATGCCGTGGGTCAGCTTGCTCAGCTCCCAGTAGAGCTGCTCTCTGTCTAGAGCCAAGCCTACTGGGTCAGGGTGTAGGGTGCAGATGGCATCTACTCCAGTGGCCGCATGGTCCCTCTCTGGCCTGGAGAGAGAAGATGAGAGTTAAGACAACAACAGTAAAGCTCAGGGAATTGTCTTAAAGTCCCTTGGGATAGGAAAGGAATGGGCCAGAAGAAATGAAATAGTCAGGAGGGAGGTGAGGAGGAACACAAAGACTCCCTGAGCGCATTGAAAATGCCAGCCTGAGACTGTGAACAGAGTCACGGGTGGAAGACAGCACAATGAGTCTCCATGCCATACTATAATGAATAGTGGATAGTACCACTTTGAGACAGGCCAACAGCTGTTGGACCAGGAGATTGAGGAAATAGCAGAAGCCTCATGAGTCTGGAGAGAATTTGCAAAGGCAGAGGTTAAAATCAAAAGGAAAAAGGGGCACAGGGAGAAGAGAGTGGAGAAAGATGACCAGGTTAGAGCCCCAATCATGCGGATGGTGTCCATAGAGTGTCTCAGTTGAGGAGGGGAAGGGAGAGGTAGGTAGGATGAGGAGACGTCTGGGCGTTGGAGGCAGTGCCTCCTGAACTCCACCTTTACTGAGGGCATGGACAGGGAGGGCAGGAGGGACACCTTGCAAACGCTTGGAACGTGGGCAGTCTACCCTAAGTAGACCTGGTTGTGTTTTCTGAGGTCTCACCTGAGTGAGGTCAGTCTGCAGCCAGAGAAGCGAGGGCCCACACTGGTACTGTTGAACAATGACCTGAGCTGTGGAGGACAGAGAGAGGGAGGTGAGTAGAAGTGAGGCCATAGGGTTGTGGTAGGAGCGCGGTGGGTGGGGCTCGCACGAGAGGGCGGGGCATGCATCTGGAGGAGGCGGGGGTGGGGTGGGGGTGGGGTCTTCCCAAGGGTGGATGGGCGGGCTACCCAAGGTGGGTGGGATCTTCCTTCAGGGGCCTGAGGACCTTGTGCCAAGTGAGGGGGAACGGGTGAGTTGGGCGCGGCGGCGGTGAGGGGAGCCAGGCCCTTACTAGATGCCGCAGGACCCTCTCCGTGCTGTTGAACTTCCAGGAGCCAGGGCGATCCGTGACCGGCACGTAGGGCAGGTTGAGGATGGTGAAGTTGAGGGTGAAAGGCAACAGGGACGCTTCAGGGGCTTGAGGGGGGTGGAACATAAACACCGTGTGAAGAGGAGCGAAAATATAAAATTTGGCCATACACCTTTCCTTATGGCGTGCGCTAAACAGCAAGTAAAGGCATTGAGGGAATGACACGTTGCCCGCCTCCGTGGCAGACACTGATAGACCTTGCTGGTTTTATGAAGTAAGCATATTAACGAACACGAGTCGGATGTGATGCCCATTCCCTGCTGAACAATAAGAGATGAGAGCTATGATCTCTTTTTCTCACCTAAGTGACTTTCATATTTTTTTTTCTCTTCCATATTACCCGTTAACAGCCCACAATAGGTTCTCAATCAAATTTGGGAATTGAGGAAGTTTGGGTATTGAGGATATTTTGTAACTGAGGGTGTATTCTGTTACCTGACTCCATTTTGTGTATTGATCATAGTTGCCCGTTTTTTTTTTTTATTGTAAGTATGTTAACCAATGCTAGTGGGAAGCTTAGCATTGCTTGTGATGCATATTCCATGCTTAATAGTGAGAGGTGAGAGCTTTGTCTTCTTTCTTTACATCATCCGTATCATGATGACTGTATATCTCTTCCTTGTCATTTATATTGTGATCATGAACATATTCTTCCATGAGCATTTTCATCAATAACTTCATCCTCCTGTGCAATATCAGCATTGCCACCACCACCAACTTCTCTATCATGAAATTATCTTACTCATTACAAGCTTCTTCAGCACTATCCTCATCTCCACTGTTACTTTCCTTATGTTCTTCATTTCCTTTATTAGCACTGTCAACAACAGCATGACTATCATCATCGACTACCATATCATCATATAACTATCATCATGCTCAGTATAATCTTCATCACCACCATCATCATCATCCCTTTGATGGCCTGCACATTCATCTCATCATTATCATTTTCATTATCACTACTACTACCACTGTCACCACCACTGTCATTATTTTGATTATCCGTATGAGAATATGCGCTCATGAGGGTAGCAGAACTTTTATTCTGTTTTTTTCTTCCCTTCTCTATTCCTAGGTTTCTGTTCAAGAACAGGTCTTCCATATTATTTGTTTAGGTGGCTCTTCATCAGTAGATTTCATATGAGTCTATATATTTTGAACAAAAGGAATAAAAGTGTTTACCCTTATTGGCTATGGTGTATAAGATGTGCCACTCTGGTACTTACTTGTTGGGCTGAGGAAGAAGGAAGGGATCATGGAAGTCCTGATGTCCATGGTGGAAATTTCAGGAGCTAGGGAGATTTTGTCATCAGTGTAATAAGCAAGCACTCTCATGGCAGCAATTCCAGCAAAAAAGACTATTTATAGGCTATGGGCCTTGTTTTATGTGGGGTTTTAACTGGGACTCTCTGAAGCAAGGGCAAAGCAGAATAGGAATAACATATGGGGACACGTAGGGGTATGAGGACTGGTGAGCTCCTGTATTGCTTAGTGTAGGATTGGGAACATGAAACATCAGTTGAATACTCACTGCTGGTTATGGGCACAAAACTCCTGTGGGTGAAACCTGCAGGAAGAGGGATGGAGGACACTGGGTAAGTGTTTAAGTAGACTTGAGGAAATAAGTAGAGATGATTGGCTCTCTGGTGCAATGGAAGGATGATCATGGAGCAGGGGCTGTTCACAGTTCACTCTCAATCCCCTAACATCAGAGAAGAACATTTTGAGCATGAACTTGGTCCAAGATAAAGAAGAAATAAGGAAGTTCATACATCAAACAACACATAGACACCATAGCCAGGCCTTCAATGCCAGGCAGTGAGTGTGACCTCAAGCCACAGCCAGAGGCTGCCAAGCTAGAAGGAAGAAACCCCAAGCACACGGGAGCTCCTCACCACTGACATAGAGACTGTCCTTGTCCAAGGTGTAGGGGCCCAGCCTAGTGATGCCATGGGTCAGATTGCTCAGCTCCCAGTAAAGCTGCTCTCTGTCCAGCCTGTGACCTGCCAAGTCTGGGTGGAGGGTGCAGATGGCATCTACTCCAGTGGCTGCCTGGTCCCTCTTGGGCCTGGGAAGAGGTGAGAGGAATGGGTATAAGAAATTGCCTATTGCCTGAGTTTCCTTTGGGCCAGATAGGATGGAGAAAAGAGGAAATGAGAAACCTGACATTTAGGTGAAAAACCATTTTATACTGAGTGACTGACAGGTAGATAGTCTCGGCATGTGAGCAGAGTCATGAATACCAGATTTCTTCTTCTTTTTTTAAAAGCAAATCAGAAAATACATCTTTTGCTCATGGCATAAGGCCAGGAAAGCTCTGATTTTGGAAAGTTGAAGAGGTAGAAATGATCATTAAAGTAAGTTTAGATTGAACATCTGTCTTGGTTGACTTCTTTAGGACAGTATTAACACCTGGAGAAATGGGAGGTCGGGGATAATTGGGAATTTAGAGGCATGATTTAGGCTGAGGCCCAATTTTGCTGATGGGCTCTGCAGAATCTCTCAGTGGAGAGGGTGAATGTTAGGATTAGGATATACCTTTGTCCTGGAGCCAGGTCACAGCCTCCTGAACACAACCTCTACTGAGGATATTCACAGGGAATGGAAGGAAGCCAGCCAAATTTCTTAGGCCTGGGAGCACTTGGGGAACTTTTGGTTAGCTATTCCAAGGTCTCACCTGAGCAAGGTCAGTCTGCAGCCAGAGTATAGAGAGTTCACACTGGTGTTCTGGAACAAGTGCCTGAGCTGTGGCAGAGGGAGAGGGGCAGTGAATAGGAGGGCTGAGGAGATTGAGGTAGGGCAGAGTGAGTTGGGTGTGACTGGCATCAGTTGTGGAGAAGTTGTGTCTCTGGCTAGTTGTTGAGGTTGGTATGGGCTTCTTTCACTCTCCTGGCATAGGTCAGTTGGGGATCTGGTGAGACTGGCAGGATATGGAGGGAAGGACTCTCACCAGATCTTGCAGGACGCTCTCTGTAGTGTTGAACTTCCAGGAGCCAGGGTGATCCATCACCTCCTCATACTTCAGGTTCAGGATGGTGAAGTTGAGAGTGAGTAGCATCAGGAGAGGTTCAGTGACTGCAGTTGGTTTGGGAAATAAGGACTGTTCAAAAGTGGAGGCCATGGAAGAGTTTTTGACAGACTTAATTTTAAATATGCACAACAGGATTTAAAGAAAGTGGTAAAGTAATAGATTTCTATGCCTTCCTTGAGTATAATGGTAGACGTTTTTAAGACAAATTATATTAAATAAAATATTTAAATTCTGAGCATAGCTCTTGGTGCATATTTAGTGTTCAGTAATGCCCTGTGATTTCTGTTACCTTTATATCACCATTATCATTTTCATTGTCATTGTCACATGACTATCATTGTTGTGTTTATCATCAAAACCACCATGACCACTATGACCATCTCAAAACCATCAGGACATGATTACAATCGTAAGTACTCCCAATCACCATCATCATCACCATCAGTCATTTTCATCATCATCATGGTCAACATCACCATCATTTTCCTCACAGTCTCTATCACCACAGGCATCGTCTCCATCATTACCATGACCACCATCATCATCACCACTGCTATTACCTGCATCACCAGCAATATCATATCATCATCACCATTTCATATCATCATTACCATAATTACCACCACCACCAGCTAAATCATTATTGCCATCATCATTACCACTATTACTATCATTAATATTACCATTGTGTTCATCATCACCATCATCATCATCTTCATCACCACCCCTGAAGCCTTCTGTGGCTTGTTTCCCCATATATATATATTAAGGTATATATATGCCTTAAATAGTTGGGAAAAAGCCACAGAATATATATAATATACACCATAATATATATATGATATACATATGGATATATATAACTACTATATATTTAGAATATAAGCTGTGTACAGATGCCCAACCTACAATGGTTCAACTTAAGATTTTTCAACTTTATGATGTTGTGAAAATGACCAACATTCAGTAGAAACCATTCTTGCTATACCCATACAATCATTCTGTTTTTCACTTTCAGTATAGTATTTAATAAATTGCATGAGATATTCAACACCTTATTATAAAATAGGCTTTGTGTTAGATGGTTCTTCATCACCATCCCCATCAGCAGCACCACAAGATCATTTCTCTGAGATGTTTATCTGTTTTGTCTTTCCTGCTGTGTCCCTAGGGCCTTATACACAGTAGATGCTTATTACCGTTTGTTGGTTGACTCATAATTAAATTTTCTATAACTTTCTGTCTTGTGTGAAAGTTGCAGAGATATTTACTCCCATGGGGCATGTTTTGATAGGCATGCCACTGGCTGGTACTCACCTGTGGGGCTGGGGAGGGAGGGTGGAGTCCCAGAGATTTCCACGTTTACTGTGTATGTCCCAAATGCTGAGTAAAAATTCTCATTAGTGACAAAGCAACATTCTCATGGCAGGAATGCTATCATCAGAGACTATTAATAGTGCTTGATATATGAAGGGTTTTAATTGACCTGGTTCAGGTCAAGACTCTGAAGCTGGGACAGAGAGGAAAGAGAATAGAACATACCCTCCCAGATGTTTCCTTCCTGAAGAGGATATAAAGCTTAAGTGTTTATGCCTGCCATTGTTGGTATAGAATAAGGGGTATGGGTCATCTGTTGAATACTCACTGCTGCTGACAGGCACAGATCTCTGATGGGTGAATTCTGCAGTAAGTAAAAGGGAATGTAGTGGGTATGAGTTAAAGGAGAGGTAGGGTACTAAATAGGGGTTAGGGCTATCCTGGTGCAATGGAAGAGGTTTAATGGCTGACTCCCTATTAGCACTCTCATATCAGAGAAGAATGTCTTGAGGATGAACTCAATTCAACATGAAGGGGCAACCATGAAGTCCTAATCTTAGCCCTCAAATACAGAACACACGGCCACGCCTTCAGTGGACAGGCAGGGAGTATGCCCTCAAGCCAGAGAGCAGAGGCTGCCCAGCAAAGATATTCCAAGCACATCATAGCTTCTCACTCACCATTAACATAGAGACTGTCCTTGTCCAGGATATAAGGGCCCAGGCCTGTGATTCCATGGGTCATCTTGCTCAGTTCCCAGTATAGCTGCTCTCTGTCCAGTCTGAAGCCTTTGGGGTCAGAACGATGTGTGCAGATGGCATCCACTTTGGTGGCTGTCCCATCCTTCTCAGACCTGGGTAAGAATCTCCATAGGTTGGTCCGACTCTCCATTTTTCATTTTTCCCTCCCTCTCCCTATTAGCTTCTAAGGCAGGCACTTCCAGCTTCTAAGGTGGAAAACGTAATTAACCTATTATCTATAATTATGTATTATACCGGTATACATTATACCTAAACATAATATAAACTAAATTATATATAACATATGTTATGTATATAATATATAACACTATATAGCTATTTTTATATAATGGCCATATATATTATGATTAGTAAATATGCTTTTCAACTTACAACAGGATTATGTCCTGAGAAACCCACTGTGAGTTGAAAATATTGTAAGCTGAAATAGATTTAATACATCTAACCTACTAGCTTAGCCTAGTCTACCTTAAACATGCTCAGAAGACTTAACGTTAGCCTGCAGTTGGGCAAAATCATCTAATGCAAAGCCTATTTTATAATAAGGTGTTGAATATCTCATACAATTTATTGAATACTATACTTAAAGTGAAAAACAGAATGATTGTATGGGTATGGCAAGAACGGTTTCTACTGAATGTTGGTCGCTTTCACAACATCATAAAGCTGAAAAATCTTAAGTTGAACCATTGCAGGTTGGGACCTGTCTGTATACAACATATATTCTAAATATATAGTAGCTATATACATATATCCACATATATTATATGTATAATATAATATATACATTCAGGCCTTTGCTCAGGGTTAAAAATCTCAGTAAATGGCAGAGCTGGGATTAGAATTCAGATCTTTCCAAAAAAAAAAAAAAGAGAGAATTCAGGTCTTTCTGGGTGGCACCTGTGGCACAAAAGGGTAGGGTGCCAGCCCATATGCCGGAGGTGGTGGGTTCAAACCCAGCCCCGGCCAAGAAATGCAAAAAGAAAAAAAAAAGAATTCAGGTCTTTCTGACTTTATTAAGGGTCTTAGCCACTAGACCCTATGCTCCCTCTTTTCCCTAGGAAGGAAGGGAAGCTGGAGGTAGATGACTGTGAAAAAATGGGGATCTTGGGAGAGCTAGACCTAGAGATTCTGTGATACAGGTGTGGGATGCAAGAACATCAGGTGAGAAATGGTGTCAGCCAACTTCTACCCCAGACTTCTGCCCTCTTTAGCATTTGGGCACGGTGCTCTCCCCATCTTTTAGTCATCCCAGGTTCAGGTCAAGACTCTGGTTGAGTCTTTCAGAAGGCAAACACCTTCTGCCTGTAGCTGTGTTTTCTTTCTAACCCTGTGGGAGTCTCTGAGCAAATTCCTTTTGCGAGGTCTGATAGTGAGATTTTCCAGTTCCTGCAAGGCCATAATGTGGGCAGAGGAGGCGGTGCTGCCTAACGGTTGGCAATTTGCCTTTAGACCCTTAAATGCTGGAGTTGTTCTGTGTCACTTGACACAAGCTCCTGACTCCCTCTGGGTTTTGGTCTCCCCTTCTGTTCCTGCCTCATGAGGGTGTTGCAAAGAAGGATGAGGTAGTAAATACCATGGATAAAGTATGTAGTACAGTGCCTTGGGTCTTAGTAAGAGCTGCTGGTGCTAATGAGCAGCAGTTGTTGCAAGTGATGACAGAGTCAAAGATCCTATGATCTCACCCATCTGTTGTTTTTCTTGGGAAAGGTCTCACCTGAGTGAGGCTAGTCTGCAGCCTGAATAGAGGTTTCCTATACTGCTATTCTTGAGCAAGAGTTCGAGCTGTAAGGAGAGGAGAGGAGAGAAAGAATCACTGAAGGAGGACAACAGGGGGAGCTCTGTCATTGGAGGGGTCGACCAAGACCAAGCAGGCCAAGGGTAGGCAGACCAGGATGAGGTGAGCCTGGCAAGCATAAGCGGGCAGGACAGGGTGGGGTGGGGATCGCCAGCACCAGCAGAGTGGGTGCGACTGGCATCAGTGGGCATGGCCAGCACCAGCAAGGTGGGGAGGGGGAAGAGTGGGAGCGACTGGCATCAGTGCGCTGGGCAGGGTAAGGTGGCCTGGGATGATGATGTCAGTGGGCGGTGCTCATACCAGACCCTGCAGGACCCTCTTGGTGTTGTTGAACTTCCAGGAGCCTGGGCGCTGCATGTCCTCCTCGTACTGCAGGTTAGTGATGGTGAAGTTGAGGGTGAATGGCAGAAGAGGGATCACCGCTGCATCAGGGGAGGATAAAAGGAGGACACATCTGAGTCACATCTAGACTGGGCTCTAAGTCGACTTCCTAACTTAGTTAGGACAGAAGACATAAAATCAGGAAAGGAGTAAAGTAAGATGGATATTCCTAAAATGCAGCACCTGGACCCAGAAGCAGGTTAGGGGACCCTAGTTAAGTGTATGGGCCAATCTGACCTGGACCCTGCCAATTACCCAGACTGGCCCTAACAGACTCTGGTTGAGAGGTTAAAAGGTTTGGGGAATGAGAATGGAAAAATAAACCAATCCTATACAACATATAATAAACATTTAAAAAATAATAAAATAGAAGTCCTTAAAAGAAGACCCTCTCTCGCCTGTTCACCTTGTTTACTTACCCTTGCCAGATTTGGTTTCAAATCCCCTCTCTGTCCCTTACCAGCCATGTGACCATGTTACTTGTCCATACCTTAGTTTCTTCCACTGCAGAATGGGGAGACATACTTTGCAGGGAAATTATGAAGGTTAAATGACTGAATGTCACTCTAGTCACCTTTGAAGCACTCCCCTTGGGAAGCTATGCACTGATGCTTGCACTTAGTCCACCGTTCAAAGCACTTTTTCTAGGATGACTTTGTGAACTTAAACGTCTGATCTGGTAATATATTTAAAAGCTAACACCTGGTGGAGATTTGGGTGGGAGGAAGAGAAGCAAAGCCACTCTGCTATAGCTGGTTTGGCCTCTGAGGCAGAGGACCCTCCCCTAGTAGTCTTCTGGCTGCTTCATAAGAGATGGGCAACTGATGCATGGTTAAGGTTCTTTTCCCCCATGAGACTCACCTGCCTCAGACTCATTAGACATCTCTGGAGAGTGAGTTTTAGGTAGAGTGGCCACATGTCCTGGTTTTCCCTGGACATTTTTGTTGCCCTCATGTATTGTATTCAAGCCCTATTCTTTCTTTCTCAAAAAGTGCCCTACTATGGAACGAAAATTGTGTGTACCAATTCATCCTATGTAAAAGGATGGTGGCAATGGTAGTAGCTACCTATTAGGGTTTTAGTGAATATTAAACGAGTTAAAACTCTGATCAACGTAGAATAAGCCCACATTGGTTTTTCAACATTGATTACACCTAAAACTTTTAGAGAAAATACGAAATGATTCTGAAAAGTAAACAAAAGCAGGCAGATTGTGGAGAGGAGTCAAAACTTGGAGACATGACTTGTGCAAGGATGAATATTGGTCTTTTTCTCTCATAGATTTATTCCAAGGGTAGGTCTCACCCATGGAACTGTGTATGAGAGAGTCAGGGCACAAGCAGATAAAACTCTGATAGAAATCCCATACAGCAGTCCACCTTTATCCTCAGCTCTGCTTTCCGTTGTCTGCCTCAGTCAACCACGGTCCAAAAATATTAAATCAAAAATTCTAAAAATAAGTAACTTATGTGTTTTAAACTGTATGTTGTTTTGAGTAGCATGATGAAATCTTGCACCATTCTGCTCTGTCCCACCTGGGACATGAATCACCCCTTTGTCCAGAATATTTACAGAGTACTGTATGTGCTACCTGCCTGCTGGTCACTTTGTAGCTGTCTTGCTTATCAGATCAACTTTCGTGGTATCACAGTGCTGTGTTCAAGTAACTCTTGTTTTACTTAATAAGGGCCCCAAAGCACAAGAGTAGTGATGCTGGCATGTTGTTATAGTTGCTCTATTTTATTATGTATTGCTGTTAATCTCTTACTATGCCCAATTTATAAATTAAACTCTATCATAGGCATATTTGTATAGGAAAAAATAGCCATGGTATATATCAAGTTTGGTACTCTGTATGGCTTCAGACATCCACTGCAGGCCTTGGAGCATATGCCCTGTGGATAAGGCAGGACTACTGGTACTTATGACTATATGGCACTAGGAAGTGGGGTTCCCCGGGGCTTTCAAGGAGAGGGATGATGATCTGCTAAAACAAACAGACAAAAATAAGCATAACAATTCCTAACAGGATAACAGGTCCTAGAGTCTACACAAACATGGTATGCATAATGTTTACTATCTGAAACTACTTGACATACAACAAAACAGGGAAAATGTATCCAATCCTCAAGGAAAAGACAAATGACGGATATAAACACCAAGGTGATTCTGTTGTTAGAATTACCAGACACAGACTTTAAAGCCACTATTAAAACTATGCTCCATGAGATAAAGGTAAGCATACTTGAGATGAATGTAAAGATAGACATTCCCAGTGGAGAAATAGAAACTATGCATATATAATATACATATATATGTATATATATGAACCTCTGTAAATAGACCACCCAAGGGACTATAACAAACTCATCAATATCCAGAGGTAGTTAACATAAGGCAGTAGGTCTAGTATACTGATGCGTACATGTGGTCCATGTCTGGTCTATCAAAATTAGGTCAACTTAAGGAGGTGGTCAATGGAGGGAGGTGGTAAACTCTGAAGGTTCTACTGTGTGTATGCATGCATATATGTATATATATGAACTAAATGGAAGTTTTAGAACTGAAACATACAGTATCTGAAATAGAAGGAATTCAATGCATTGGGGGAATGGAACTGATAGAGAAAAGACTTAGTGATTTTGAATATGCAGTGATAAAAATTATTAAATCTAAAGGACATAGAAAAAAGACTGATTTTTAAAAAAGAACAGAGTCTCAGGGCTTTTAGGGACAATATCACTTCATTGGAGGTTCGGAAGGAAAGAAAGATTAGGGTAGAAAAAATTGAAGACATAGTAGCTGGACATTTCCCAAATTTCTTTAAAAAATACATTTTTTCAGAGTCAAGTAGCTTAAAAAACTCCAAACAGGATAAACTCAAAGAAAACTATCCAGAAACACATCATAATAGAACTTCAGAAAATCAAAGGAGAAAAAAATTTGAAAGCATCTAGAGAAAAATGACATTATGCATGATGCATGACTTGGTTTGTGCAACACACATCACATATTTAGGAGCCCACAAGAGCGAGGCATGTAATATAAATGGTTGGATTGATCAGGGTAGAGCAGTGAGGAAATGGAGCATGTATATTCTGTCTAGAGCATGTAAAACGTTTGCAGTGTCTTGACTTACAAAACACAGAAAACTTGAAGGCAGAATTTAAATTATAGGTTCCCAGTTTGCATTCCATAACTCTAGAATTTCAAGGCAAGTTTAAGAGTTAGGGATGCCCAACCAGCATCATGATGTAAGAATAAACATAACCATAGACTCAACTTAAAAAATAAGTTTTAAGGGGCCAGGTAGTGGCCTGTAATCCTTGCACTCTGGGAGGCCAAGGTGAGTGGATCACTTGAAGTCAGGAGTTCAAGACCAGCCTGAGCACAAGTGAGACCATCTCTACTAAAAAACCCCCCAAAATAGAAAACTAGCCAGGTCTTGTGGTGGGTACCTATAGTCCCAGCTACTTGGGAGGCTAAGGCAGGAGGATCACTTGAGCCCAGGGATTTGAGATTTCTATGAGCTGTGATGCCATGGCACTCTAGCTTCAGTGACTGAGTGAGACTCTGTCTAAAAAAAATTATTTTAAGGGATAAGGGAGAACAGATTTCATGGCATAAATCAAGCCCCTGTAGAAGGGTCCTGGAGCCTCAAGAAGCCTCAGAATCACATCTGGACAAGAGGAAGAGACTGGATAAAAATCAAACTTGTGGCTTAATGATTTTCTCGATGTTCAAATACACATAGAATCCACAAATGTGGGCATGTACAGGGATTGTTTCATTCATGCATTAGCTCATTTAATCAATAAATATAATTTATTGAACTTTGGCTAGGTGGTCAATTCCCAGGTGATAAATATGCTAAGAATTAATAAACCACTCTTTAGTGGTCAATTCCATGAAGGAAATAATCACAGTGATTTGACGGAGGAAATATGCATGCCAGGTATATGCAGTGTTGGACAATTAAGTTCACAAACTCATTCTAGAAAAAGTGCTCCATACCTCATGTTTTAATATCACTGTAGTCACCTTTAAAGTATTCCCTTTAGGAAGCTATGCACCAATTCCAGAACCTAATTGTCAGACCTTATATAACAATAGCTCTGATGGCCATTCCATAAAAAGAATGCTTTGGAGTGGGGTCCTCAAACCTGTTAAGCAGGGGGCCAGTTCACTGTCCCTCAGACCGCTGGAGGAGGGCTGGACTGCAGGCCCCAGGACGAGTCAGCTGCTAAGCAGGACAGGCAGCGGTGGCAAAAACACCCTGCAGGTCAGACAAATGTCCTAGGCAGGCTGCATGTGGCCTATAGGCCGTAGTTTGAGGACGCCTGCTTTGGAGGGTGGACTAGGCCCTGGTGATGGTGCATGGGTTTCCAAGGAGAGTACTTCAAAGGTGATCATAGTGATATTCAGCAATGAGGTTTTTAGCACTTTTCCTAGAATGAGTTTGCAAACTTAACTGTCAGACCTTATGTGCAGGGAAAGTGCCATTTTATATAAGGGGCCTGGGGGTCTGTGTAGATCTTTAAGGAAGATGTACTTATTATATCAAATAATAATAGTGGCTGGGGGCATCCATGTCTATTTGGAATTTGATAGAAATGACCCCAGTGTTTTTATATTAGAGAAGATGCTGGTTTTTGTGGTCAGATATGAGTTTGATTATATAAATATAGATGAATTTCTATTTTGGGTGGTAAAAGAAAGTCTTAGAAATAGCAGTGATGGTTGTATAAAAGTGGAATATAATTAATGCTGCCAAATTGTATACCTAAAATAGTAGTATACACAATAGTGTATACCTAAAATACCTAAAAATGGTATGACAATTTTTTTATTATATCTATTTTCCCACAATAAAAAAGTTATTCTTACTTGTTCCTGAAGTCATGCTCTCAGAGGTCAAGGTGGACATCTCAGGTGTGGTCAGAGGAGCAAAGGGACTTCCAGACAGTGTACTGAAGGTAGTTGTGGTCTCAGCCATGGTGGGTTTTGAACTTGTGGCATTTGAATTAGTGGTTTCCACCATTATAGTTTTGGGGATAGCTGTTGGACTAACTCCTTCTCCATGACTGGTTTTAAGCGGTGTTGGAGTTTCCAATGGTATCAAGGTCCTAGTGGTACTTGTAGCTGTCCTGGAAAATTCTGGAAGTCCAACTGAAGTTGTGAGTGGTGAGGTTTCTGTGCTCCAAAAAGTTACAGTATTAGGCTTTCTTGTTGTTGTAGCAACTCTGGAAAGCCCAGGGACATTGGGAGACAGGGTCAGAGTTGGAATGCTTGTTTTGACATCTGCCAAAGAGCTGGTAGCCAAGAAGCCTGTGGTCTTTGATAAACCAGGAGGAAAAATTGAAGTTGGAAGAGTTATCCTGGTCTCTCTCCCAGGATGGGTAGAGAGTGAGACTGTGGTCTCTGGTACATGAGGAAAAACAGTTGAAGCAGGAAATTTTGTGCTTATCTTTGCACTGAGGTGGGTGACCAATGAGGTTGCAGTTTCTGTCTCACCAAGAGAAAGAGTTAGAGTTGAAATAGTTGTGTTGCTCACTGCTCCAGAACTAGTGACCTGTGAGGTCAACATAGCTGGTCCACCAGGTGACACAGTCATTGTTAGCACAGTTGAACTGGCTTTTGCTGAAGGACTGGTGGCTTTAAAAAGTGCAGTGTTGGCTTCACTCTGGGAAAAATTAGTAGTAGTCCTGGGAACTGTTGTGCTGGTCTCTGCAGAATGAGTGATCCATGAAGGTGATGTCTCTGCTTCGTGTGGGGACTCAGTCTGTGTTGGAATAGTTGTACTGGTGTCTATCTCAGTAGTAACGTCCTGCCAATATGTTTCAACGATAGTCATAGTTGAAACAGCTGAACTGGCTTTTGTCCCAGGACTGGTGGCCATTGAAGTTATGGTGTCTGATTGATTTTGGGGAAAATCTGAGGTTGTTCTGGAAACAGGTATATTGGTTTCTGCAGAATAGGCTCTTGTATCTGTCTCATCAGAAGAAAGAGTCAGATTTGGAACAGCTGAACTGGCTTCTATCCAAGAATGGGTGTCCCGTGAGACTGTTGCCTCTGGTTCACTTGAGTGATCAGTCACAGGTGGAATAACTGTGATGGTCTCAGTCTCAGAACCAGTAACCAGTGAGGTTACCAGCTCTGATGCACCAGGTGTAACAGCCAGAGTTGTAATGGCTGAACTTGTGCGTATCTCAGGATGGATGGCAAGTGAGGCTGTTCCTGGTTCACCAGGAGAAAGAGTCAGAGTTGAAATAATACTGGTTCCTGCCCCAGAACTAGTGGCCTGTGAGATGACCATGTCTGTTGCATCAGGTGACGGAGTTATTGTTGGAACAGTTGAACTGGCTTCTGTTCCAGGACTGGTGGCCACTGAGGGTTTGGTGTCAGCTTCACTATGGAAAACATTGGGGATTGTCCTGGGAACCATTTGACTGGTCTTTGCAGGATGAGTGACCCATGAGATCATTGTCTTTGATTTATGTGGGGACATAATCAGTGTTGGATAAGTTGTACTAGTGTCTGTCCTACTAGTAACCAGTGGGGTTGGCATGTGTGGTACACCAGCTAAAATAGTCGTTGAAATGGCTAGACTGGATTCTGCCCCAGGACTGGTAGCTGGTGTGTTGTATGATTTACTATGGAAAAAACTTGGAGTTGTCCCAGTAACAGTTGGGCTATTCTCTGTAGGATGGGTAATGAATGAGACTCTTCTATCTGGCTTACCAGGGGAGACAGTAAAAGAAGTACCAACAGAATTAGCTTCTTTCCCAGGATCAGTGACCAATGAGGTTGTCATCTCCAGTTGACTGGATGTACCAGTCAGAGTTGGAAACTTACTGGCTTCTGTCCTGAAACTAGTGACTGCTGAAGTCACCAGCTCTGGAACTCTAGGGAAGACAGTCCAAGTTGGAATGGTTGTTTGTACCTGAGGATGGGTGAACAGTGAGGCTGTGGTCTCTGGTTCATTCAGGGACTCAGTCAGTGTTGGAAAAGTTGTACTGGTATCTATTCCAGTGGTAGTGACCTGTGAACTCACCATAAGTGGGACACGTGAGCTATTCATAGTTGAAACAGTTGAACTGACTTCTGCCCCAGGATGGTTGATCCATGAAGCTGTGGTATCCAGTTGACCTGAAGAGACAGTCAAAGTTGGAACAGTTGTACTTGTCTGTGCCCCAGAACTAGTGGCCAGTGAGGTCACTATCCCTGATACACTGGTCAAGGTCGTCAGAGTTGGAATGGCTAAACTGGTGTCTGTCCAGGCATGAGTGACCAATGAGGCTGTGGTATCTAGTTCACCAGGAGGAAGAGTCAGAGTTAAAAGAGCTATATTGGTGTCTGTCCCAGAACTAGTGACCTGTGAGGTCACCATATCTGGAACACCAGTCATAGTTGAAGCAGCTGAACTGGCTTCTCCTCCAGGACTGGTGGCCATGGAGGGTGTAGTATCAGATTCACTATGGGAAAAATTAGGGGCTGTCCTGGGAACTGTTGTGCTGTTCTCTGTAGGATGAGTGACCCATGAAGCTGTTGTTTCTGGCTCATGCAAGGACACGGTCCATGTTGGAGAAGTTGTACTGGTATCTATCCCAGTGGTAGTGACCTGTGAAGTCACCAGATCTACTACACCATGTGAGATAGTCATAGTTGAAACAGTTGAATCAGCTTCTGCCCCAGGACTGGTAGCCATTGAAGTTGTTGTGTCTGAGTCATTATAGGAAATATTTGGTATTATTCTTGAAACAGTTGGTCTTTTCTCCACAGAATGGATGAGCCATGAGACTGTTGTTCTTGGCTTACTAGGGGAAACAGTCAGGGTTTGAATGCCTGGGCTGGTCTCTGCCCCAGAACTAGTGTCCAGTGAGGTTTCTAACCCTGGCACACTAGGAGAGACAGCCAAAGCCATAATGGAATAGCCCGTTAGTGAACTAGGATGGGTGACCTCTGCAGCTGTGGTCTTTGGTTCATCTGGAGAATCTGTCAGAGTTGAATATGTCAGAGTAACCATACTTGTCTCTGCTACAGGACTAGTAGTCATTGAGATCACTGTATCTGGTACATCACAGGAAGCAGCTGGAGTTGGAACAGCTGTACTGACTTCTGCCTCAGGACTGGTGGCTATTGATGGAGTGGTGTATGATTCACTGTGAGAAACATTTAGTGTTGCCTTGGAAGTAATTGAGGTGGTTTCTGTGACTGTTGTGTTCATCTCACCAGAGGAAGCAATTTGCACAGTTGGACTGGTCTCTGGCCCAGAACTGGGGACCAGTGGGGCTGCGGTCTCTGGTTCTCTATTGAAAACAGTTGGGGTTATCCTGGGAATACCCGTGCCAGTCTCTGTTTCAAGTCTGGTGGCCAATGAGGTTGTCATCTCTGAAACATCAGGGGAAACATCTGGGGTTGTGGTAGTCATTCCTGCTGTGTTTGTGGTAGATGTTTGTGCCCATGTTTTGAGGAAAGTTAGTGTTCTTGAGGTAGAAGTATAGACTCTGGTGGTCACAGTGGCTGCAGAGATGGTCTTTAGAGCTGTGGCAGTAGTCTCTGCTCTTTCTGTCCCTCCTATGTGTAGTTCCATGAATTGGGGAGAAAAAGACAGAAAATCAGAGATCAAAAGTTGGCAAGATTATGCAGTTGTGGCATGGTAGTGTGGGATGACAAGTAGTGTGGAAATTTGAGCATAATTTTGTCTTCATCCTAAACACATATTCTTAACCACTGCATAATATTAATTTTCTAGCTGAATTTCTAGATCTAGTGGGAAAGCCAGAATGAAAAGAGAAGGAAGTGAGGAAAAAATGCCCATCTAAAAGGAAGGATTTTAATAAGCATTGCTTACTTCAGTGGTTCTCAACAAGAGGTAGTTTTGTTCCCAGGGGACACTTAGCAATGTCTGCAGACATTTTTGGTTGGTACAACTGTGTGTGTATGTGTGTGGACGGGGAAGTGCTCCTGGCATTTAGTGGCCAGGGATGCTGCTGAACATCCTATAATGCTTAGAAAAGCCCCTGCCACAAAACATCATTTGCTCAGAATATCAGTAGTGCTGAAGTTGAGAAACCCAGATCCACAGGAAAAAAATGAGCCAATGGAAACTATTGGCTATCTCTCATGAACTTTGTTGTCTAAATACTATTTATCATCTGAAGCCCAGCAATCCCTTTTCTGGAGACTTAGATGTGGCTAACGCTGTCAATACCCTACTCCGTTCCCTTAGTGTTCACTGTTAGAATATAGGCAGTCCCAGGTTACAAACATCTGGCTTACATACAACTTGCACTTACTAATGGAGGCTATTACAGGTAATAGGTAAATGTACCTGTTCCAACTTATATACAAATTCAACTTAAGAATAAACCTACAGGCTCAGCGCCTGTGGCTCAAGTGGCTAAGGTGCCAGCCACATACACCTAAGGTGGCGGGTTTGAATCTAGCCCACGCCTGCCAAACAACAATGATGGCTGCAACCAGAAAAATAATAGCCAGGCATCATGGCGGGTGCCTGTGGTCCCAGCTACTTGGGAGGCTAAGGCAGGAGACTCGCTTGAGCCCAGGAGTTGGAGGTTGTTGTGAGCTGTGATGCCACGGCACTCTACCCAGGGGGATAGCTTGAGGCTCCGTCTCAAAAAAAAAAAAAAAAGAAAAGAAAGAATAAACCTATAGGGCGGTGCCTATGGCTCAAAGGAGTAGGGCACCAGCCCCATATGCCAGAGGTGGTGGGTTCAAACCCAGCCCCCGGCTAAAAACTATTAAAAAAAAAGAATAAACCTACAGAACCTATCTCATTCATAAACCTGGGACTGCCTGTGTGGTGACTCCAAAGGGTTCCTATTATAACTCCTATGACTCCATACTTAAGGGTTTTCACCCAGTCCGCAAGGGGGACAGGATGGAAATGCTGAGGGGTTAGCACCTCCAGGAGTAAGCAGCTTACAGCTAGTGAAAGAATGGAGTTGGATGATGAGTACCCCAGCCACCTCACCCCTTGGATAGGACAATGCTAGTTGTTCTATGCTGCATTCCAGAAGTTCCTGATGGGAAGGACACTCCATTGCTCATAACTGTGACCTGCTCCTGAATGCATCTTGCATTAACTTCCTTTCTGTATCCTTTACCAGTGATTCCTGGCACCACCCCCTATCTAACATAAACTACTTGTCCCCACATCCTTGAATCAAAGTCTGCTACTGGAGATATGGGGGTCACAGGATAAGACTAATAAGCTGACTGGAGATGAATCTGTCTAAAGCCCAGATCTTACAAAATCCTCCAAAATGAGCTGATAAAATAGTCCAGAGTCTTCCTGGGAGTAAGTTAACATATATGAGAAACCTTAAGCTTTTAGCCACCCTGTGAGCAGGACCCCTTGTTGTATACATCTGTACCTTTTAAACTCTCATGCAGAACCATAGTACTGTGAAATGTTAGTAGGTAAAGATCTTTCAGAGGAAAAGATTATAAAATCAAATAATTGTAGTAAACCCTGAATTGAACAAAGTTGAGCAAGTTTCCTTACAGTAGGATTTCTCAGAGCTTATGTATGCTATGACTCTCTGTGAAGAAACAACATATTTGTGAATTATTTTTACCACCCAGACATCCGTGGGTTTCACTTCTTTGTGTGCCTCTGCATGCTGCTTTCCGTTCTATTCAGAATGTCTTCATTAACTCCCTCTATCTTCTCGGTAAGCTCCTATTCATCAACACATCGTACCCCACATATGCAGGGATATATTCATGATCTATGTGTATATGACTTAATAAAAAAAATTCAAATATTACTTCCTCCAAGAAGTCTGCCTTCTACGATTCCAGTATATCTTCATCACATAATTTTAGAGTTACATCATAATTATTTTATTTCTTTGATGTATCTCCTACTGAATTGAATGTTTCATCGGTAGAAAGTAATTTTTTTTTTAGAGACAGAGTCTCACTTTATCACCCTAGGTAGAGTATTGTGGCATCACAGCTCACAGCAACCTCCAAGGTGATTCTCTTGCCTTTTGATTGCAAAAGTTGGGGCCAAATTCAACTCCAAGGTGATTTTCTTGCCTCAGCCTCCCAAGTAGCTGGGACTACAGGCACAGCACCCACCACAATGCCCAGTCATTTTTTGTTGCAGTTTGGCTGGGGCTGGGTTCTAACCCACCACCCTTGGTATATGGGGCTGGTGCCCTACCCATGAAACCACAGGCACCGCCCAGGTACAAAGTATTTTTGTGGGTGAAAACTAGAGTAGGCTGGTGTCCTTGGGGACTTGTGTGGGAACGTGGTCCCAGGCCTCAGCCCTTCCGCTGTGATACACGCCTAAGGTGGTGATGGTGGGGTTGGAATGTCCAGCAGAATAGATGAGAAATAGTCTTAGAAATGTCTAGATAGAGATCAGCAGCTTAGAGAAACAATAAAAATAAAGCTAGAGAGCAATTAATAACTACCATGCAGCTGTGGCTATCTAACCTGTGGGCTGTAACTTTCCCTCAGTAAATCCAACCCAAAGTATTCTTTGATTTGTAAGTTAGCGTTCCTCTGTCTTTCAGTCTGATAGCTTTCTTCCTTGAATAAAAGACTTCCTATTTAATTGAAACATGAAAAACGATTACCTTTTAACCTTTTTGCTTTGTATATGCACACCCCCAAATCCCTCATAAAAGGCCTTGAATATTCTGCTTGAGATGGCACCTCTTAGCCATACTAGGGGCTGATATGGTGTCATCTCTCAGGGTCAAAAGACTCTGTGTGTGTGTGTGTGTGTGTAAGTAAATTTCACAGTGCCTTCTGCCAGGCCCCAGGTGGTCAGGTAAAGTCCTTGCATAGAAAGATTCCCAGTCTGCCATGCTGCAGCTTCATTCTTGGGTTGCAACATTTTCATCTGTGCATCCTCATTTTATAGCATAGTGTCTTAAACCATATTAGGTTATTAAGATGTATTTTTGGAATTCAGTTAAACTAGAACAAATTTGTGAAGTTGACACATTGGACTTCAAGCAAAGCTCATCCAGCATGTTGTGAGGGACAGAAAAGTGATGATATCCACCTGGTAACCATTAGGCAAAGGTCCAGCTCAGACAGGGAAACCCATCATAGCCACACACAATTCTCTCTTTAAAGAAAGCAAGTGTTTTATCTCTCTGGAGCAGAAAATGTGATCACAGTGGAATTACTGAGGAGTAAGCAAAGTTGCACCTACCTCTGGGGTTAGCAGATGATGTGGATGCTAGAGGCTCCTTGACTGGCCCTAAGGTATCTCTAAGTGATGCTTCATTGGGTATCTTTGTGATGTGTTCCATATGGCCATCAGTTCCTGCAGGTGAAAATGGAGAAGAAAACTGGGGTAACTAATCTAGAAGAGTGATTTTCAACCAGTGTGCCATGGGAGGAACTTAGGTGTCCTGCAAAAGATTTTAAAAATCATTAATTAAATTATTTTCTAAAAAAGTTCAAAGCTCAGCAAGTATATTCTTTTTTCTTACTCTTTTGTTAGATCAACAAAATTTAAGTGTGACATAGAAATTTAACTATAGGTTTAAGTATGCCATGAGATAAAAAAAAAAAAGGTTGAAAAACATTGATCTGGAGAAAGAGCGCTGTCTAAATGGATCCACTTAATTGACCCTACAATACTCCTTGTCTCAGGTTCCTCTGTATGAACTTGAGCTGAGACTACATGCTGTAAGTGACCATACTGGTCCATAGATCCATCCACTCACTCATATATGCTTGCATCCCCTCTTTCATTCATTCTTAGATCTGACCGTCTATTTTTCCTTTTATCCTTCTTACTATACATTCTTCGTTTCATCTTTCTTCCCTTCATTTTCTTCAGTCTATATTTCTGTTAGTCCTCCCTCTTATCCACGCTTCCTTTTCATTGTTCCTTCTATCCATCTATCCTTCCTTTTACTCATCTTTCCTTTCCTCTGTTCATCCACAATTTCATACTTTTCTTTCATTCTTTCATCCACCCAGGTAGACTTCTATCTTCTCACCATCTCACTCATCACTTCTTTACTGAACACCAATGATTCAACTTCTGAGCTACATTTTAACACAAGACTTAATATCCATCAGTGTGTTTAAGCTTATTGTGAATCATAAAACTAGTTGGGGAAAAGGAACCAAACCTTTTGGAATTCAATTAAACTAGATCAAATACCACTATAGACACTATCTAGTGAGACAGGAGCTGGGGTAGTTGGAGGACCTCTTAGGACTTGTGCCAAGAATAGAAGTTGGGGCCAAATTCAACCTTTTCAGAGGAATCAAACTCCCAAGAGGTTCCTTCTATAATCTGCTGAGGTTGTAGAAGTAGTGTTCTTCCTTCTGTCCACCTTAACTCTTTGGTACTGTGTTGCTTCATTTTTGTTTTTTTTTTTTTTTGTATTTGAGGACATATCTATACTTCACCATTAAAAATCCTGTAAATAAATCACAGTAAAAATAACAAGTAAAAAGCAATCAAGAAATGCAATGCAGGACCTGCGATGTAGTCTCCCATGCTTTTGACATAATTAGCATTAGCTAATGACATTATGAAAAGCTGTACCAATGACTATTTGTTTAACCAAAAGATTATGTTTTTTTTTTCTTTTTAGAGACAGAGTCTCACTTTGTCACCCTTGGTAGAGTGCCATGACACCACAGCTCATAGCAACCTCCAGCTCTTGGGCTTAGGCAATTCTCTTGCCTCAGCCTCCTGAGTAGCTGAGACTACAGGTGCCCCCCTCCCCCATAATGCCTGGCCTTTTTTTTGTTGCAGTTTGGCCGGGGCCGGGTTCGAACCTGCCACCCTTGGTATATGGGACTGGTGCCCTACTCACTGAGCCACAGGTGCTGCCCTCTTGTTCTTTCTTTTTTTAATCATCACTTTTCTTTTGCTTATATCTTGCTTGGATCTTTTGTTCTATTTTTTTTTTTTTTTTTGAGACAGAACTCACTATGTCACCTTCGGTAGAGTGCTGTAGCATCATACCTCACAGCAACCTCAAACTCTTGGGCTTAAGCGATTGTCTTGCCTTAGCCTCCCAAGTAGCTGGGAATACAGGCATCTGCTGTAATGCCCAGCTATATATATTTTATCATTAAAGCAAATCAAAGCTGACCGACTATTTTTTATTTTTGTTGCTGTGGTTGTCATTGATGTTTAGCTGGCCTGGGGTGGGTTTGAACCTACCAGCCTTGGTGTATGTGGCCGGCGCTGTGCTATGAGTACTGAGCCAGACCTTTTGTTCTTCATATAGAAACACATCCAATTGAAAGGGTGAAATCCTGCCCCATCTATGTATTATCTTAGTGTTCTCTCTAGTGCTTTACACTTCACTGATACTCTCATCCCCAAGGATCTCTACATTGCAAAGGACTTCTCATCTCATTCAAACTTGGCTAATCTGTAGTATTTGACATAACTTACCTCTCTCCTTTCTAAAATTGCCCCTTTTTATGGTTTCTGTGATGCCAGAACCTCTTGTTTTTCTGGTACCTCTCTGAACACTGCTGCTTAGTATAGGAGCATGGATTTGTAATGACAAGAAGTTGGTCCTAACTCTAGTTCAGTCACTTATTAGCTTTACGACTTTAAGAGAATTATTGAGTGACCCTCTACCTCAATTTCCATATCTCCAAAATAAGCTTAGAATGAATTCCACATCAAAGAATATCACAATTAGGAACAAATAACTACGTAAAACAATACCTTAACTATAATAAGAGCTGTATAAAAATTCACTGTAATTATCATCATTATCATCACTACTTAGTAATAATACTAGAGCACCAATCATGATATTATAAAGATTCAATTATAATGCCGCCAATACTTGCTTTTGTATACTTCTTTTATGCCAATACATGGAAGTGAAATTAGAGCAACAGATTTTTACTAAAAAAAAAATGGAGGTGCAGTAATATATTAAAAATTCATACCTTTATTACCTTTTAAAAAGGGGAATTTATTATGAGACTGCAAGAATGGGATAATAAAGATTGTATGACCTTACTGGTCACTTATGTTAAAGGTGAAGAAATTCATAACCACAGGTCACAGTGACCAATTCAACCACTCTGTTATTTTTCAAAGTAAAATGGGTAGTAAAGTGGTGCTTAAGGGCTGGACCCAAGTCTCCAAACTATTACAAATAACTGAGGGATCTGAATTATTGTCACTCTCTGTCCCAAGATGATTTCTACTGAATGATGAAAGAAATAGTCATGAGGGGTGACGCCTGTGGCTCAAAGGAGTAGAGTGCCGGCCCCATATGCCAGAGGTGGTGGGTTCAAACCAAGCCCTGGCCAAAACTGCAAAAAAAAAAAAAAATAAAAGGAAAAAAAGAGAGAAATTGTCATGAGAGGACATGGATGGATAGTTGAAGGGTGAAAGATCTGGAAGGCTAAATATAAAAACCTGTGATGGAAGATAAAAGTAGACTTCCACAAACAAGAAGAAAGCAACACAACTGGAAATGGAATATGTACTACTACAGAAACACCTGCAGGACACTGAGCAGGATGCTGAAACAGAAGTTGAAGACACTGAACTCCCGGAGTCACAAATGAGAAGGAAAGCCCCAGTACAAGGTGAGGAGGATGAACTGTCTGGAAATGTGGAAAAGACAGTAGAGGGAGAGGAGATGGCACAAAAAGGGAGCAGGGAAGAGACAGAGATAGATTATTCCAATTGGGGAAGAATTGCCCTTAAGCCCTCCTGAAGCCCAGGACTCCGAAGACTGGTCTCTCCTGATTGTGGAAATCCGTGGATACCTGTGAAATAAGGCAATTAAAAGGAAGGTATATTGATGGCTCATAGTGGTAGAGTACTGGAAAAAACGGGAACCATCTTGATAGGTAGCCAGGCTAATTTAGAAGTGCTAGCAGAGACAGAAAGCACTGTGGTGGCACTGCATGAACTCTGGACCTACCCCGGATTGAGCTGAGTTTGGTGCCAGCGGAGGCTGCCCCTGTCCCGGACACGTGGGTGGTCGCTGCAGTGGGTGCGTGGGAGAGGACACTGCTTGTGGCTGTGGCCGAGGCGG